CAACCACTGCAGAATAAACAAAAATAATGCAAATACGAAAATTCCGAAACTTTTTTCAAACAAATTACTAGACAAAACAATATTTTTTTTTACATCGGGTTTATAAACAATAAAGTCTGTCTGACTTGCCGATCTTAGTAACACTTTTACGGATTTTAGTTTCGCCTTCGGCATTTATGGAACACTTAAAAATTTAGCTTGAAGAAGGAAAATTTGTGTACTGTTTAAGAGGAAAAAGATTTTCCGAGACATTCATTATATGCTTAAGTAAGCAATTTCAATGATTTTCTGAAAAATAATTTACAACAACGACGAAAATTTTCGCAATTTTTGGTAAATATTACAGTAATTTTCTTTCTTTTTCGCCATTTTTAGGTTTTCCAAAATTTTGTAGAAGATCATGCATAAATATAATAATCAACGACAAGAATTTCAATATAATTGCCATCCAGATATTTTTAACTGTTTTTTTTAAATTTACTGTGTTTATGAATAGGAATTCAACTGAAAAATCTTTCTTATATAAACATAGAAATATTCTTTAATATTATAAACTGTGACTTAACACCGTATTTGGATCTAAAAAAATATGCATATAATTTATTAGAATTATCATTGCTCAAAGGAATCTATATTTTCTGTAAACATTTTTCAATCTCTACATTTTTTATCTTATAACAACCGTTACCCACCAGCTTCTTTGGGTAATTCATGATATATATATAAAGAGTGTTTTTATAGAGGTATAGAACTTTAAATTGCAATAAAACATCGATGTATTATTCGATTGACATGAATTTTTTTTTTATTCGAAAGACAATCTTGTGGCATTACATTTTAAATATGATTTCTGGCATAGGACTGCCACGACTGGCTCGGATGTAGTCCAATCTGGACGTCCAATTTTCGATGACTTTTTCCAACATTTGTGGCCGTATATCGGCAATAACACGGCGAATGTTGTCTTCCAAATGGTCAAGCGTTTGTGGCTTATCCGCATAGACCAATGACTTTACATAGCCCCACAGAAAATAGACTAGCGGTGTTAAATCACAAGATCTTGGAGGCCAATTCACAGGTCCAAAACGTGAAATTAGGCGGTCACCAAACGTGTCTTTCAATAAATCGATTGTGGCACGAGCTGTGTGACATGTTGCGCCGTCTTGTTGGAACCACAGCTCCTGGACATCATGATTGTTCAATTCAGGAATGAAAAAGTTAGTAATCATGGCTCTATACCAATCACCATTGACTGTAACGCTGTGGCCTTCATCGTTTTTGAAGAAGGATTCCACCAGCCCATAAAGCGCACCAAACAGTCAGTTTTTCTGGATGTAACGGTGTTTCGACATACACTTGTGGATTAGCTTCACTCCAAATGCGGCAGTTTTGTTTGTTGACGTAGCCATTCAACCAGAAGTGCGCTTCATCGCTAAACAAAATTCGCTTATGAAAATCGGGAACAACGGCAATCTCGTTTTGGGCCCATTCGACGAATCTACGCCTTGCTTGATGATCGTTTTGATGAATTGCCAAACCAAACTGAGAATAAATCACTTGACAGCTTTTAAATCGGTCGCCATCTTGGAAAGTAATGCCAACTTAAACGTCTATACCTGGAAAAAAACACTCTTTATATATATTATGTATATGAATTTACTATATACAGTCTAACCTCCATATTACGAACCTCTATATAGAGAACTTTTTCTTGGAATCAAGAACATTTCACGATTTTTTTCGTAAATTAAATTCTGAATAGAGAAGTGCATTTTCTATATAGCGAACTTTTTTTTCTTGTGATTCAATTTTTTTCTCTCTAGTTTTAAAAGTATTTCTGAACATTTCCAAGTTATTCTCCCTTTTAACACATTTTATGGTGATCAATGAGCTTGAATTAGTTTTATCAGGGGCCTAACTCATCAAGAACAATAAAATTGTCGTAATTTTAGGTGGTCCATCCATAAAATGCAACCTGTAACCCCCTTGTCCAGTTCACTGGAAAGATCCTCGATTTCCCTTTCCATCCTCAGCGGAGTTGTCTTGTGTCCCTTGAACTAGTCTACGTTCATTTGTAGTGTTGATCAATCGTATTGGTAACTTCATTTCTTGTAGCTCGAAAATGTCAAAACGTAAGGTACTTGAACATCGAAAACAAAAATTTAACTCTTCAGTAAGTAAATAAAGGCGTCACGAAACTTTCCTTGTAGTTTTTCTTTCTTTCTCTTCTTTTCTCTCTCTTTTTCTTTATAGGTAAGATATATAAAAGAAATTTATATTAATTTATAAAAAGGTGTGAATATTTACTTTTTTTTAAATATATAGTATTTATGAATTTAAAATTTGTTTTATGTGCTTTATAAAGAAAATTGAAAGATGAACCTCTATATAACGATTTTTTCATATAAAAAACTTTTTTTCGAGATTTATTGACTCCATTATATAGAGATCCGACTGTATAAGTGGCCGCGGTAGCCGAGTGGTATAAGTAGCTAATCGCGGCTTGCCTTATCACGAGTTCGAGCTCAGTATCACTAAAGACCCGCCGTGTAGGGCAGCGATGCACGTTAAATTTGTCGAGAAATGAAACGTCCTCCCGTTGGTGTGGTAGTTAGGAGAGGGGGTGCCAGCTCAGGTGTCGTCTACGTCACTTGAGCATGGTTTAAAATTACGTGGTCCGTCGCCAAAAGCCCTCGTGTAGCTGAACAGTGCGACGTTAATATTCAATCAATCAATCAACCGACTGTATATGCATGACGTTGTTTATTCCCAATCCTAGATAAAGTTTTCGATCGCATGGAAAACAATTCTTATAAATATCACACCTCTTGATTTAAAAAGAAAGGACTTGAATTTCTAAAACAGAAATATATTTATCCTTCCCTGTAGACTTTCCACCATCAGAATCGATTTTCTCAAACCCCATTTTTAGCGGATCTTTACTTCAGAAAAGTAACATGCTTGCTAATTTTCAAGTATGTCGTTTTATTAATTCAAAAACAAAAGTTTTTTTCTTTATCGCCCATGTAGCTCACCGTAAGCCCCTCGGATTTCCTTGAGCGTCTATTTCCGCAAAATCCGTTTTAGCAAGCTTCTACTCAATAAAAGAAACATAATTACTGAATTTCAATTGTGCAAGTCTAACATTTCAAAAATGGAATTTTTTTTTTTTTTTAAATCTATAAGGTTCTCTTAACCTTCCGCAACCCCTTTGCGAGTCGGTTCCTCCAAAACCAGTTCTTAGAGTATCTCTATTTATCAAAAAGAACATTTTTTCCAAATTTCAATTAGTTAATAAATGAATAGATCAAAAGCAGAATTTGTTTTTATTTGTAACGCCCCCGTAGCCCTGCGCAACCCTCTTGAGAGTTGATTTTCGCAAAACTCATTCTGAAAGGGTCTCTAATTAACAAAAGGAATATGCCTACTAAATTACAAGTCTGTAGCTCTAATAGTTCCTAAGCGGTAATATATTTATCTATAACACCCCTTAAGCCTTCGCAACGCACCTTGGGGTTCGATTTTCGCAAAACTCGTTCTGAAAGGATCTCTATGTAACAAAAGGAATGTGCGGTGTGATATCTATATAAACTAGTACCAAACATCCCGCGAAAACGATCGTTTTGGCGTGGTCGATAAAGTACTCGCGTTTGGAACGGAAGGTACCTAGATCGAATGCTTTCTTCCTTCAGGAACATGCCCACCAAATTTCAAGTCTGTAGGTCTAATAGTTCTGGAGATCTCTTGATGAGTGAGTTGATGATTCGCTTTTCTCCTTTTTTTATGTAGATACAAAGCACTTCGAAAAATATGTTTATTATAAAGTAAACAATTTTGTATGTAACGGAAATGTTTCCATATTTTAAGAACTGAATATTCAAGCATGTATACGTATCATAATCATGTGGTTTTTAGAAATATAAATATAAAAGAATCACAGTTTTCTATTTTAGGAAAAATATTTTCAGATTGGTTAGTTGTCATTTAGCATCACTTTCTATTTATTCTTTTACAAAGATAGGCTTAACAGTGTGCTTAACTGTGTTTCCCTATTTTAGGAATACAGACTGTGATTCCCTTTTAAGAATTTTCCTAGAATTCAGATTATGTGTTAGTTCCTACTCACTTTAGTACAACAACAATAATTTAATAATAGATTCACTAGAAACTAGTTATTAAAGTGGCGTAAACGCACTCCTGCGCAATTTTTCATTGAATCTTCTCTTTTAATACTTCGATTCAGAGATCCATTCTTCCTCTGAATTCTGAGCCAACTGAGTCTCTTCGAATCCCTTAACCATTAGAAACTTGAAACTTAAATAGCCACTGGTCATAATTTCTCTTGTCGTTTGGAGTTTTGAGTCACTGTTCCAACACTCAATGGACAATCAACGGACAATTGGGTTTATTCCTCGCGGATTAGTTTGTTGAGTTATTGTATCTTCAAAGCTTTTACGCCTTAATTTAAAGGATTTGTGTAAATGTAACAGACTTATTATACTGCCCAGACAGTGAGTGATTGTTGTATCTGAATATTTGGGACAAATGATGGGTTGATTTGGTGGTGAGTTTATCTTGAAGTAAATTTCTAAATAATTATTTTTGTTTTTAATTAAATTCTCTAATTCATTATTAATTTTAATACAAGTATATAAATATTTGAAATACCGGATACATCTATAGCTATAGAGATTAAAAGCAACTCCTGTACGGTTTTCTATTTTTCAATTCCTACAATTAGTTCACACTCTCCCATATATATATATATTAATTTATATATCTACATCTTCTTCAAATTTTCAATCGTTAACAAAATACTTTTTATTTATCCCTTCAAGTTTAATTACATTTTTTAATACTTGTAGTGGCTGACACGTGATGTTAATACAGTTTTTTCAAACATGAATGAATTCATTAATTAAATTAAAAAATGAATGAATAGTGTAACAAACAAAAGTAATACCTCAACAGCATATATACAAAGGAAAATCGTTTGTTGTGTCCCTGTAGCGCAATAGATAGTGTGCGTTGGACTTCTAATCCAAAGGTCGTGGTTCCGAATATCACCCGGGATGGTTTAATTTCTGAAAATGTTAGTTCTTTTTTACTATTCAATTAAATTGAATAAATGAATAAACACAGTAACAAAAACAAACAAATAATAGCCCAACACCATAAATAGAAAGGAAAATGGAAAATCGCTTTCTATTTTGTCATTTAATTATGTGATTTTGTTAAAAGAATATACATATTTATATTAATTGTAACGGTATCTACATAAGCCAGTAACAGCCTCCGAACAGGGGTGATCACTTTTGTCTAATGGTCATGTTACTCGGCTTCGGAACAGAGCGTCGTGGGTTCTAACCTGTACAATATACTGCGTGCGTCGCGTTAAAAAGCTGTGACTCTGTTCAGTTCCTTTTATGTGGAGATACTCGGTTCCTTTTCTGAGGAGGAGATCATTTAGCATTTTATTTCTTATAGCATTTGCTTTAAGAAAATGCTTATTATTTACTACTATCTCAAAGCATTGGCCATTTAGTGATCTTATCTCGATTTTAAATTCTTTTTTATGTGACATTTTTATTGTAAAATTGTTTAAAATATCCTTTTATGACTCATAAAAATTGAAATACGTTAATTTTTGCCAATTATAAGAATGTTTAATTATTAGGCCTATTTACGTTTACATTTCGTTACTTTATACCAATTAATAAAGCTGTACCTTTCGGTTGAACGGGACAAATAAACCCCGATAAATTACGGAATCTTCCTCTGATAAGTTCAATTTCGGCAAGGGATCGCCTGCTATTTAATCTCCGTATTCTCTTCTAGTTAAGTGTGGTTATAGCAAACGTCTGCTGATTAATTCAAATCTTAAAAAGTTTGCTTTACACATCACAGACTACACGTCGAAACTTATCGAATCAAACACCTTATCCGTAAGCACATTACCTCATCTCTTCGCAACCGCTTCCCGCCGTCTTAAATTTTCTTAATTAGCAGTGAAAAGATAACAAAGCCCATAAAATACGCCGGAGAAGGAAGAAAAAAATTGAAAACCAAACGCTTCTTCCACCATTCATAGCTCGATTTTTTTCAAAATCCAGTTCGCCATCGTTTAATAGAGTTTTCAGTTCGATAATACCTGAACAAAAGTGACGCCTGCCCCTGCCTCATTACGCCCCACTATCCCTTCCTCGTTTAGTACGGCACTTCCTTTTGAACCCTCTCTTCAAGCCATTAATTTCTGGTACAGCCCTGCTTGGATCGCTTGTAACTGAGATAAAGCGTCGACACATCCGTCGTTAGTCCCCTAAAAGCCCCCGGATAAATAACGACCACCCGCCCTGCTGACCAGATCTTCCCCGACCATTAAAAGTTTTAAACTTTAATTAAGAAGTGGAAGACCATACTGACGTCTTCATTTTCTGCTCAAGAAAAGATCTTAGTCTTGTTCACGTAATGGCAAAAATAGTATAGGGTTTATTTGATCCGGGATGGAAAAAGAGCATGCGCCATATTTCTTTTATTTATTACTTTATTTTCCCTTGTCCTCTACCTTGTTATTATTTAGTTTCGAGTCTAACTAGGAGAGATGACAGTTATATTTTTACAAAGAATTTTTTTCGGTTGGGGGATTTTTTTTTTTTTTTCTTCTTCTTGAGCCTAGAGGGAGAATAATGGTCGGGTTCATTACTTGATTGGATTTTTCTTGAGTGTTGCTACGAAATCTTAATTTTCAAGACTTAAAAATTTCGCTTAAATTTCGATTTTTTGTGAGTGTTGTTTCCATTGATATAAAATTCGCTACGACTGAAATTTAAGGAGAAAGTATTGTGTTATGTGAAATTATAGTTTTGTGCTTAAAAATTAGATTTGAAGTTCATACATTGGTTAGTTTTTCTAAAGACGAACGAACAATCTATTGAACTTCTGTTTTAGTTGAGTGAAATCAATTTTTTGTCGATTTCAAATTAACTAAAATGACTTTATTTTCAACTGTGGTCGAATAATCGATCATTATGATAAAATTCATTAATATGAAAAATTATTTTCGGTTGTGTAACATGATTCTTTTTTTTATCATCTTTTAATTTAGGTATTGATTAAAGTAAAATTAAGGTCAAACAGTCTTTGAATGTTAAGTATAAAAAATCCTTATATTCTTTAATTTGAACTAAATATTCAAATAAATGTGTTACAAATATTTATTTGGTGAGATGTAGGAAATTTAACGTTAAAATTTTTTATTTATAAATTAAGAAAAATAATGTTACGTATACAACCTACTAAATAAAGAATAATTAGAAATATATAGTATTATATCTATACATATCACGTGACTGTGTATATCTTAAGTGTCTATTTAAAATTAGCTTTTACAAATTTAATAAAATTTTTAATAATTAATAAAATTAATTTCCTAGAAATAAATGCAATGCTATTCAACATTTTATATCTTAGATTGTGTGTATTTTTAATATAATAATTTTTCAGTGAGGAATATTTCTTTGACTTATAAAGAACTAACGTATTTCTTTTTATAGGACATTATTTGCTTGATTTTTTATTAACTGCTTTATATTTTTGATGTTATACCGTGTATGTTTCTCAATAGCAGCTGTGATCAAGAAATATTTATGAATCAATTTAGTACTTTAACAAATTACATGTACGTAATTTTTTCTTATTTCTTAAACATTTTTTGCTATAACTATAAACTTTTGACTTCTTCATTTGTTGAAAGAAAAATGAAAAATCAGTTTTTTGTCCTCTCTCTCTCTTTCTTTTATTTATTGCAGTGTGAATATTTATATTTTCATTTATTTTATTATTTGTATTTTTTCAATTTATTTTATCAAAACTCTATTTTTAAGTTCGTAAATGATTAAAAATAGAAATAAGATCCATTTATCTGCATAGAAGGTTTATTTAAGCTCATTTATTTTAATGTTGTTGTTCTGGTTAGTAGAATTTTGAATTTTATTCTATATTTTCAAAACTTGACAGGAAAAAAATATGTTATTTTAAGAACATTTTCTACAGATTTTATTTCAAAGCATTTTCATTTGCGAAGGGAAACTCAAAAGCTGCATTTTCTGTGTATTCTGTATTACAGACGTTATTCTGCATGTAAACAATTTGAAAATGCAGTGAAAATCGTTTAAAACGAAACTGAGGGGACTAAAATATCTTTTCGTGTTAAAAGAATTTTTTTTAAATATTTTTAAAAAAAAACCCATATATTCAACAAAATTAAGTTTATTAGAGTAAATTTTATTTACATAGATACATTCAAACAATTCCATAATTTAATCTCTTCTTTTAATTATTGTTGTTCACATAGCATTAGCAGTATCAAAATCTTTACAGTTTTCCATTTTCATCATTCTGAAAACTTTAAAGAAATAATTTATATTAAACTTAAGGAGAGAATTTTAATGACATTTCCTACTTTCAAGCCTACAAGTAATTTTAGACATACATTATTTTAAAACAGTATATCCCTGAATTTAATTGTTGACAAAATCTGTTAATTTTACTTGAAAAATTGCGGCAATTTTATTACTCTAGGTGAGTTAGGCACCTGGTAAAATCAGTTCAAGGTCACTGATCACCATAAAATGCGTTAAAAGAGAGAATAGTTGGAAATGTCCAGAAATAAGCTAAAACAAGGGAGAAAAAAATCGAATTATAAGACAAAAATCTCATTAAATAGAAAATGCACCTCGCTATTTGGAGATTATTTTACGTCGAAAATCGTAAAATATTTTTAGTTCCAGGAAACAGTTCGTAAAACAGAGGTTTATAAAATGGAAGTCCGACTGTATATCCGAATGAGGGAAAAGCGAACGAAAATACTCCTTCAACGCATACCCTTTCTAAGCTCTTTTAAATTTACTATCCCTAAAAGCTTGTTCACAACCCACAAAAGCACGCAAGCTTTTAATTACGAGCGTACTTTCTTTACATCACGAATTCTACCTGCCGGATCTTCCATTTCCCTCCATGACAAGATTCCATCTCCACCCCCATGTCACTTCATCCCTTTCTTGGATCGGCGGGAAGACATGTAAGTGCTGTAATCATCGTGATTTCGGAAACTGCTCGGATTCGCGCGAAAAGCTCCGTTTTGAGGAGAAAAACACTATTATTTGACTCTCCTCCTAAATAGCTCTCCATCACTGGCGCCTACTGCAACAGACTGAAATGTGTGGTTATGTGTTCCCCATGCTTCAATAAACAGCAGATGTTTCCAAATTCCGATGCACTTAAAATGTAAGAACTGTGATAGAGATCAATTGTATTGATCCATTTTTTTCTCTCCTGTGTAACTTTTTCTATTGTAGCGCAGTTCCGCTTCCGTTTTTTTTTATCAGTATTATTTTGTCTCTGGTGATGGAACGAAGCGTGTAGGAATTCTCTTAAACACATTTATTTTTTAAGACGACAAACGGTTTTACCTTGTCGAAATATCGGTAAAAATCGTATCGATTATCACATTGGTTAAATGCAAATGAAACTTTTTTTTCCCCTTATCTCATTTTGTCTTTTTTATTTATTTATTTCGGAAGGAGACATATGTAAAGTTGTTGCTTAGCAACAAAAAGCATCCGAGGATTAATAGATTGGAGCGGGTGTAATAATGTCTTTTTTATACGTGGCAATCGTCTCTTTTTTAAAGATACATGTATTACATTGTTTCAACTTTTAAAAGATCGTATTTATTTTGTTTTTATGGAATTTCATTAATGACTTTTGGTTCTTAATTGAATACCACCCATCGAATATTTTGGGTCCTTAAAAAAATTATCATATAAAATAGAGTTTCAGATGTTACGTTACGAAAATGTTATTCGAACTAAATTGTTGAGTTGTACTTAATAGGAACTGTGTTTAATATATTTTGGTTTTTGCAGTATGATTTTAATGTTTGGTGGAACATTTTAAGCTATCCGACTACGTTCGGAATCGTGATTTCTCGAAAGCGTGTGGGGGCCGCGGTAGCCGAGTGGTATAGGTATTGGATCTTGGCTTGCCTTGTCACGAGTTCGAGCCCAATACCACT